TTGTTACTGTTGTAGAATAGAAAGGCATTTTGAACCAATTTCATGTTTCACTAACAAGGTCATCACATCTGATGACCATTTTGGGTTTCTTAATATCCTTCCACTATCTGTGAAGAATAAAATGAGAGGATAAAAAATTCACTATTGGAAAAGCTACTATTCATACAAAATAAAGCAGGAATAAACCACTTGATGTGCATTTATTTTTTCTGCATTACATGGAATCCAATAAAAATCACAATTTGCTTAAGAGACACCTAAAAATTAAGGCATGACATAACGTTACTGAAGATGTACAGGACCAATATGGCTGTGCATATATAAGACAGACGAACAATATTCTCAGTATAGATAAGGAGCTGAATCTCCTTTCTACTGGATCGCTGATCCATTTAATCTAAAATTGGATCAAATTTACGGCGAGAATAATGGCAATTCTCCGAAGTGTACACAAACACAGGAAATTGAAAAATTACGAACTGACGGACACAAATACAGCTTAGCTTTTGAATTTTCCCCATTTTTTTTTCTTGGTAGGGAAGCAGAACACTGTAAAGTGGTCGAGTAAATGTAGTTTCTCGCCTTGAGAAACAAACACAGCTTTCTGGGCTATGGTGACGTCAGCGCCAATCGGCTTAGCGTTCCATCCCATCGCTGTCTCTTTCCCCTCGCCGGGTTGTTTTTTTAGGTTACAGTGACCTCTGTTTCAACTCTCGAGTTTTCATACGTACCCAGCTCCTAGAAATGTATTGGACGAAACTCTAGGGTGATATGGAGGGGGAGGGGAGGAACGCCCGCCTACCACTGTCAAATTCATCAAGCCAGCTAACGAATGTTGTCCGACAAAATATCGCACATTAACCCTGGCGAGAAGTGCCCTCACTATATGTGCTTTGATCTCCTTTGGTGGCACCACATAGCAGAGAAATCTATCTCGACTGGAGATGGTCACTGTTGAACAGCAACAGCCTCAAGAAAAGATAGTGAGATTCCACTGTAATGCAATTGCCTACATTGCAGAAACTGAAATACATTCTGTTTATTCTAGAGGATAATTATATTTTTTTTCAGCAGTCTCCATTTTATTGCTCTGCCAGCAACCTTTTGTTGAGTGAATGTAAATGTGGAACCCATATCCCAATTACTACCATGTGGCTTTCAAAAGAAATGGATAAAATAACATCCATTTCCATTTGCTTTCTCTTTAAAAATCGCTAACAGAAGCAGTATCATGTTCTAGTTTGATAAAATGATGTGCCCTCTTGATAAAGAAAAAGCAGAGTTATCCTCAGAATAAACCACCCTTCTGTCCTCCGAGCCCAGGAAGCATGTGGCCAGAATTCAAACAAATTTAATCTGAATTCTGGCTGCAAAAATATGCACAAACATGTTCATCCATCGACAGGAGGTTTTCTTAAAACAAAGCAAGTAACTGAAACTACAAAATGAATAGATACAAATAAACATTTTGTTTCAAGAACAAACAGCCCAGAAAAAAATGAATGCACTTCTTAAATGGAAAAAAATGTAAGAGGTTATCGTATGCAATTAGTTACACAAACAAAAAGCCATGGATTTAACAAATTATTCCACTCTCATCTCTGAATACTTTCCCCAACACTTAACCCCTTTAAAGGTTTACAACCATGACTTTCGTAGTTATCAAAAGCATAACATTTTAAATCTTACTCAAACGCATCAACTGTGGAAGAGTGAAAGAAGAAAGATAAGGATCACTAATTTCTGCTTTTATCTCCTTTCCAGCAGTGCTGCTGCAGATATATTGCAGAGCCCCTATACTACAGATCTCTCAGTTAACAGCAAGGACCTCCGAATTTTAACAGTCAAGACCAGAGACCTTCTTCGTATTCCACACAAATCAGCACTGCTCCTTAACTTTTCCAGCCTTATGAATAAAATGCATTGTCTGTCCACATTTGCAGCCTAAAATAGCAAAGAGATAAAAATCCTCATGCACACTCCTTGCTTTTCCAGGAATTCTGTACAGGGAAATTTTAAAAGAGTTTCATGTTTCTGGTCTACTTTTCTTATTCTGCTTGGAGAAAGAATTTACAGGCAGAGGGAGCATGGCGCTAATGTCTGCGACACAAAGCTACCACACCATCCCAGCATGTCTGACGTGTCCGACAAGCATTGAGAAATTAAGCCTTTACCATACATTGCAGAAGCTGTGCTTGGGGCTGTTAAAGCAGATTTCTAGCACAGAGCCTTGCTATGCAGCCCACCAACATGCCTCTTACACAGTCACGGGTGTCCTTTTTTATCTGTCTGGAGAAAGATCCGCCAGAGCACCTCATTCAACTAGTGATCAGAAATATTTGAGGATCAAAGGATCAAACAGTCCCGAGAAAGAATGGCCTTATAAGTTATCTACTGCTCTTTGACGTCCCTATCTTTAAGGGATGTACAAAACATTTTACTGAAAGCACATGTATGGTCATTTTCCACTGACACTTTGCAGCTCAAGTCTGATGAAACTCAGCTCCTCTGTCAGATATTTCTAGTGTTTTTGCTGAATTTATTAGGTGCAATGTAGACTGAGAAAGAAAGAAAGATCAGAGGTGAGACTGAAGTAAAACAATCTTCTCTTTGCAGAAAATGTTTTTTTTCCACAATATTACCTAAAATACGGAGGTCTTGTCAGATGTACAAGGCTATTCAAAGTAATACATTTTTTCTTTTCATTATGACAAGATCAGTGCCAAAGAAATTAAGTCTCTCACTGATATTTTACTATATTTTTCCTATAAGTCATAACAGAGAAAATAACTGGATATACTGTAAATGTGTACATACAGTATGAGTACAACTATACAAAGAGTACAGTGCATTCTATATTAATTTACAATGTTACTTTTAGTAATAATTCAAGTATAGAATATTGGGGATTTCATGTATTGATGACAATATACTATTTTAATTACTCAGCTAGTTAATTGTATGTTGTTGGGAACTTTTGCTTCAGGGTAGACAGAAATATGTTATATAAAGATGAGATCATTATCTGCATTTTCCAGCAACAGTTGTGAAGACCATTAAAAGATTTTCATCCACAAGCAACAGTACACTGAGCTCCATTAAAAAAAATGTTTTGTCACTAATCTAACTGTTCATGCCAAACACAGTGTAGCTCACAAGAAAGGGAACACACTTCGTATTTCTACTCCCCGAGACCCTTCTGTTTTCAGAGGAGGTAAAAAAGAAGAAAAGAAATAAAGGAGAAAAATACAGGTCTACTGATAAATGCGCACTTGAGGTCTAAAATTCTGCGCCATTTGCCCCGTCCACACCAAGACTGGCAAAGCACGTCCTTAAGACAAAGCAGGGCGTAAATATGTTTGGATAAGAGAGTTTGAGCCAGAACTCTCCAATGGGTAGGCCTTAAAGCATGCCGAGTAAGACAAGGTGTGGTGATTTTATTAAACTGTTAAGTAATGAAGATTTAGTTAACCTTCTCAGAGTTAACGCAATACCCAATAGCAAAAATAACTTATTATAGAACAATTCCATCAAGATTAAAAAGTATAGTGACCAGCTTGTGGTCATCATTATCCCTGTTTAAACATCAGCATATATATATATGTAATCATTTGAAATCTATTTTGCTTTTTAATCACCTTTGCACACTCCCTATGCCACAATGATTGTACCCACTAGCACTGTTTAATTCCGTTAAGCAAACATTCAAATAAGTACATCACAATGATGGAAGCTGACTTCTACAGTATACACTGTCCAAGTTAAATCAGAAGAGAACATAAATAAAAACATAAAATAAAATGCGTCGCAGCTTGAATGTCTACCTTTTTAAAACAATGAGAGCTGTTTGCTAGCTACAAGTTTTCCTTTGTGTTTATTGCAGTGTTTATTGTTTTATTGAGGAGAGGGTATTTTCTACACCAGGATAATAAATTGTTATACTTGAAATTTCACAGATGTAAACACGCATGAAAAACATTCACACATTCCAAATTCCTTCTCCAGTGCTCCTGCGAGGAGTCCAAACATCGTACTTTGTATATAAATGGGGATCCAGGAGAAGGCCTGCGCAGGAGATGAGTAGAGAATGTGTTTTGTATTAAGTAGAGGGATGCTCTGACACAGATTCATTAATACGGTGCCGAAGCAGGCATAGATACAATACACAATTCCAAAAATTAACATGATAGATCAAAACTCCGTCACTCCAGCTAGAATTTGCTAATATTTCTTCTCATTTTATTTATACAGAAAGCCATAAAGTAAATGAAGGCACTTAAAACACTATTTGTGTTATATAGTGCAAACAAAAACGCTGCACTACCACTCAGGACAAGCCGGCTGACTCACATCACGCCAGTTGCAGTGTTAAGAGTAGAGATGTTCAGATAAGCAATATAAATGTAAAATCGTCAGTCGAATTGAAAAACTCTTTTACTTGGTACACAGCTGCCACTTTATTTATTTTTTCCTCTGCCAATATCTATTGTCGAGTAATTTCTTGATTGTTTCGTGTAATATTCTAGAGATCCCGTGGAAAACGCATATCATTGCGGTTAAATGTATTTTTTATTTGTGTTCAGATGTTTTAATTGAAGCAACCGGTAATTTACCGTCTATTTGTCGAAGAAGTCGGGTTTTATTTTTCCCCATCTGTGGTAAAGTCATCTTAACGACCGTAGTACTGGTGTAGTTTATGTTTGACAAGAATTGTGTCTGGACCTGCGCTGATGCGCTCAACAAAACAGCTGGCTGGACAGTGTTGCAGTTTGCAAATAAAACCCGTGTGTAATAATGTGTGCATGGGGGAGGTAGGCATAGTACTCGCGCAACACCCTCCTCACACTGAACATCTTCATGTGATGACTGATGCCACGACACCTTGTACAGGAAGATAAGGGAACCGCATCGTTTTGCTAGCGTGCGCTAATTACAGACACATACTGTACCTTGGCCACAGCGTGCTGAAAATATATGGCAAAGGAAAGAAATGGTCTTACCTTCTACAGCCCATACTGTGGGTACTATCCACAAAACCAATAAGATATCCATTACTGCGAGGGGTTTCTCAGTGTAAAAATATAAAAAGTCCAGGCATTCAATAAAAATAGGTCCGGAAAGCCATTGACAGTAGAAACCAAGAGACGCGCAAACCTTGGCTACCAACAGAATGAACCAGATCCCATGAAAAGAGAGCAAAAATCTAAGCCAAGTTTGGGTGAAACCAAAAGAAGGCAGACACAGGGGGAATCGTCTCGCTCGCAAAATCTGTTATTTTACACCTAAATGTGAAATGTGAGCCCGCTATTTGCAGAACGCACCACACGCCTGTGTTAAATCAAGTTCGCGTTAACGCGTAAAAACATTTGGAGGGTTTCAGGGCGCTTTCGTATCAACTCTAAGCCTGTCCCCACCCTTGTAGGACGCGTTATCGTTTCCCAGCTGTCAATCACGGAGATAAAGAACTGATTTTTTAAACTCATCAGTGCAAGATACTTGCTGAGAGTAGAGCAAGTCTTGGGGACTATGGAAAGAAATAAGGCAACTTAAAAACTCCTGTCAAACATTTTTGGGGTTTTATTTTACAACGCCATAGCATTATATCCAAATTTGTTAATGGATTTTTTTTTCCTTTTATTGCTATTGTTGGTAAGAAATACATTTCTTTTTCTCCGCGAATAACAAAAAAACGAGGAATTAAATAACACTAAGTGGATTTGTACACCAGATTCTTGGGTAATTATTTACTTATCTAATTGTTTAATTTCGCACAATTAGTAATACAATAATCAGCTCACACCCAGGTTCAAATGTGTTATTTTCTCATTTGATATTCGACGTTAGGTCACTTGCAGCTGAGATGCATATCTCGATCCCAGAATTGCTTGTGTCTACCATGTAGTTATCACATAGGTGTTTCCATGTGATGCTGTGTGTGTTCTGTATTGCGCTCAGGTAGAGATTGCGCTTCACGATGAGCTGTAGAATAGCACATTACTTCTGCAGTATGAGGTGCAGTTTTAATTATTTAACGTTCTCTTAGTTGTCTTAGTTTTGGGATTTTGTAACGTCCGGTATGACTTCTTTAATATGGTTGCGTTGCGTGCAACATTTTTAAACGCTGGAAAACACGGGATTTATGTCCGGTGTTAATGGCACAGTGCAGTGGATGTCTCCTAAAATGTAAATTGGCACAGCTCTAAAAAATGTTTGCACTGGCTTCGTGCTAGCCTGAATATAAATCACCTGGATTTCCTACTGTACATGTAATCATTAACCCTTTTCAGATATTTTCCCTTAGGTTCTTTGTTAGCAAATGACATTAAAATGCTATTATATCATATATGGGTAACTATTTACACGTCTTTCTCGTGTCTTTTATAAACACTTGACGTTTTATTTATATCGGTTATATAAATAAGCATATTACGTGTGAAGTTTCTAGACGTCAGCCAGCACTTAAACTAAAACAGAACATCTGTAAAACTAACCATACACACGCTATATACAGTTTCTTTCACTTGCTGGGAAAGTTAATATTTGAGGAAATCCACAGGGAATCACGCACTTATAAATAGGCTTCGATATGCCACGACCTTGCTTTTGTCTAATGTATATATTTTATTAAATTGTTCCTGGGATGTATTGCGTATAACTAAATCTTGTTACAGTGTAGAAAGGCTTATTCTCTCCATTAAATTGTTAAATAATGAATTACAGGCCTACAGTCTTCTAATCTCGTTATATAATTTGCTGCTCTCTCGAAAGATTTCAGGAGAGTATATTTTATATTCATAAAATTAATCTACTTAGATCAAATATCAATTTGGTAGCTCGAAAATCACAAGATAGACCAGTAATTCTGCATTTTAGCTATAAACACAGGTGCAGCTGATAGAGGAAGAATCCAAAATTAAATACATCTGTCCCTGCATTTATTACAGAACTTTTCCGACCACTCGATATTACGAAATAGAAATATCTGTTAAAATACTGTAAAACCAAAGCACGCATATTAATAGATACCGTGTTTTTCGTATTAATAATGAAAAATTCCGTTCTGCTTGTTATTTATATAGAGTACTTATTTTTCCATATCACTTTACCCTACTGTATGGCACAGCTGGTTATAGAGCAATAGACCAACGTGATGCCTATATATTAGTAAGAATCAGATGTTATTTTTGTTATTATTTATAATAACAAAATGTATAATATTTATAATTTATAATTACAATAGCCAACGGAACCGAAACTTGGGAGACACTGACATTTGATCAAGCTGTCACACATTTCTGACTTTTGAGCCCTCTATTAATTTTAAACTCGTATAAAAGCAGAATCACAGTATAATTTTAGTCTTGGCGTTAACAGTGAAATGTTAAAAACAGGGCTGTTAAACATCTAACACGTCTTGTCACATTATTTACCTTGGTCAATGCAAAAGTGATTAAGAGTGTTTATTTTACACTTGGAATAATTAAAAGTGTGGATACATTTCTCAAACCTCCACACTGAAAACCCTAATCATCTGTTCAACCATTTCTTCTTGTTACGGCACTGCCTTTCAACTGCGTATAGGGCTTAGCATCAAAATGCTGTTAAATTTGAAAAAGGTGTTAAATAGTCTACAGTTGACGGGGTGGGGTATCTGTTTAAAAAAACAAGGCAGTTGTAGTTTTCAATGAAACAATCCAGATGCATCGATGAACACTTGCATGCGCTGTGTAATTGAACAGCTCCTATCTTCCCAGGCAGCTGCATTCGTGCTGCGCATTTCAAACCATTCAAAATTTCTATATTCACCTCTGGGAAAAAAAAAGACGTCGATGCGCTCTCCAGTTTAATGCCAGGAGTCTGTAATTAAAACAATCCTTTCTAAAAAAAAAACAAACGTTAAAGTAAATTAGATTTTTAATATATGAGGTTTGTGCTCTGAAATCCAAGCATTGAGTCAACAGATGCAGATAAGGTATATAGCGTGTACTGTGCACTTCCACAAATACAGGTACTGTGTATAGAAATATTAAATCTACAAGTTAGATATGCTATGATTGGATTTTGATGTAGTGTGAAGCAACAGTAGTTGCAAACATTAGTTGCTTAGGTACTGTAATATAATGCCCCCAAAGCAATAGTTCCAAAACCCTATGTAGTAGTTAGTGGTATTTGTTTATAAAGATAATGGTAATATTTTGGGACAATGAGTGAAAGTGCTTATGCAGAAGTATCCTCACATTACAAAACAAATTATATTTACTTTCTTGTTTATAAATATCACTGTGTAGATTTATATCATTTGGCTTAGACTTCATCAAGATGTCTTAAAATGACTCACATACAGTATTTATCTACTATGCATATTGCAATAACGTTTTACAGACAAACCTGTATATCTTAAATAAGATGAGTAATAAGGTGAAAAAATGTATAAAAGCAAAACTATCAAGGAAAAAAACATAACAAGAAAAAAACAAATATTTGTACATTTAGGAACTGTTTTTGGATGAAAACAATATATTTACAATACAGTATTTATTAAATTGAGATGGGTACATTGGATTTTGGAACATGTTGTGAGCCAGTTACATATACACCTCATAGATTTTCTTTTTCTACTCTCATAGCATCACAGTGTTTTAAATCCTGCACTCTTTTATAGAATAGTTTTCTGTATTTTTCTGAATTTTAAATATGTGCAATAAAATATGTGCTTGTTGATGGAGTTTTACAATCTAAAAACAATAGAAGATATTTTTATTACTACATAAAAACACTTATGACTTCAGAAAGGCATGTTTCTTAAACCAGGGACTGCAAAGCATCATTAAGGCACAATTCTACTCAACAGTAACCCCAAAAATAAAAAAAGATACTTGTTTACATCCATGACTATTGTTATTCTTATTTTTTATTGTGATGTTTTTGGGGATGTTTTGGTGAAAGAACATTTTATTTAAATAAAAGTGCATTTTGGCTATATTGAAATCAAATGTGGCTGTAAAATATTTTACATTAAAGATGAGCCTTAAAACGTAAGCTAAATATTTAAATAAAAAAAAACAGCTTTTAAGGGTTTTCTCTTCATTGGAGTACGGACAACAATAGAGTGAAAAACATCTTGATTAGTCCGACAGTTACATAATGGTATAATAACATTATTATTGAAGAATAAGGTCTGCAGGCAAAGTGCTGTTTGTCTTACTCGGCAGTTAAAAATGTCGCAGTTCTGTATGCATATTCATATCTATATAGGTTGGAATTGTGTAAGTCTTTTACACAAACAGAACTGGGCTGAACATACAGACTGAAAAAATGGAAGCCTTCATGTTTTATAAAAGTAACTGTTAACTGCACTTGAACTATTGACCTCTAACACTAACGGAGTCTACACGGCAGACACGTAATTAAGGCAGCTTCCTCTCCAACGGCCGTGAAACTCCTCCACTGAATTAGAATTCACATTTTTAATCAAAATGTGGTCAAAATGTGGTCTTGGTAACACTACAATGTGTAGTTTTAAAATGTAACAGTGACCTTGCAGTGGAAATAGCAGGTAGGCTTTAAAAACACATTTTATTATTACATAAAACAAAATTGGAGACATGGTTAAGCCTCAAGATTCATAACTGGGAAGCTGCGAGTTTAAATCCTGGGTGGAACTGCTGTTCTGCATTTGAGCATCTTACAAATATACAGTACGTACTTGTCTGCTGAATTATTGAAAGAGACCCAAACATTTATTTTTCAATAACTTGGCTCTGCATTTTTTTTTTGCTATTAAATGAATTTGCACTACAGGATGACTAGCTAACACTATTAGCGAACACTACAAGAAAGTGGCTTTGTGTATCACAAACCCATACTTTACTGGCAACTTTCTTAAACATAAATTTTATTGTGTTAGTCTGCTGTCTTATGTAAAAGACAAAAGCGTATTCATTTTTTTTAATGTAAAATGCTCCAGAGGTTTATATACATATTTACATTTTAATAATAATTGTATATAAATGATTAAAGAATATTAAAGATGTAACTGTAATGTCTCTCAATGTAAGCTCATATACAGTACAGTATACAGTATTATCCTTCATAATAAATATGTTCATATAACTTCAAAAGTTGTAATAAGGTACAGAATGGCTCATACAC